GAGTGTTAATTCGTGTCGAGAAAATTGTTGATATTAATAAAGAAGGGGGAGATTTGGGAATGTGGCCATGGGGGTTGGAAAACCCGTGATTGAGATAACAATCACGTTCGCTGTTGTTGTTACATTCAAAGTTGTTTGACCAATGAAAAGTTGTTTTGAAAAGAACTGCTGTGGAAAGAAGGGTATAAGAGGGGAGCCTGCCCTCAAGATAAAAAAGGCAACACGGTGAAGTTACATCAATAAAGAAGCAGGAAAAAGAAGCGAAGAGAAACAGGCTGCCAGAATGGAGACCAGGATGGGAGCAGGCACATTGATTGCCTCATGAAGATCAGTTCGGCCAGACTCAGGAAACTGCTCAGAGAACCTTGTATAGAAAGTCGCTGGAAATAGGCGCACTGGAGCTGGAGAGAAGCTCGAGCTGAGAGAAGCGGACCTGTGCACACAACTGCCTCTCGCAGGTAAGCAGTTGCGCATTATGGGGAATCATACGTCCTTAGGAACAAAGACTGTCCTGGTAACCTTACAGCTTATTCTCCTTATTAACAATCGGACAGCTTATGAGCCTGAAATATGGGACCAAACTGAGGTCAAGCTGTGGGACTCTGCAACTAAAAACGGCAAGGTTGCAGTGGGATTGCTCGGCACCTGGTGAGCAATCTCTGAGGCCTTAAAGAGCCACGTGGAGCCACAATCACAAACGTCTGGCTTGCCAGATAGTGAGGGAGCTGCGGGCTCCTTTACTGATCCGACTGCTACGCCATCGCCATATGCCCCTCTGCTGCCACAGCCATCGAAGGCTTTCGCAAGAAAAGGAATGGAAAATGGAGACTGTTAAGTTATGGAACTTAAAGGATTGTTTGTTACCTTTCCTGATTGTACATATGTATAGGCATACTCTGGTTTAGTATGTAAAGCAATGTTCTGTATATTTAGAATGTTTGATGTTTGTGTGCGTGTGTTGGTGGAGTGTAGACTCCCCGCACACCCAGAGCTGTTTATTTGCCTTTTATACCTTTTAGAAATATTTGTTTTATAAATATTACAAAATTCAGATTGAGTTGAGACCTCATTTATAACACTTGGAAACACTTTTTTTTTTTTTTTAAGTTTCAATGTTTGCAACCCCTAAAGAAAAAAAAAGGGGAAAAAAAAAACAAAACACAAACAACAGAAGGAACAGACCCTGACTGCTTCCTTGTCTCTTGAAGGCAACAATGTTTTTTCTTTTGGTATACAAGCTTATCAGCAGTTAATTGCAAAGAAACCATCCTTAGGAGACTGCTCAGCCAGTCCTAGCTGGCAGCAAGCAGGGAAGCAGAATCACCTGGGCCACTACCTTTGCACAAGAAATGGCAAGGCGAAGCAGCAAAAACCTGTTCTCCCCTGCAATGGTGGGAAGGTGATCATGTTGAGACCTTTCCCCCTTCTTGAATACTTGAATATAAAATGACTTAACTGCCTTGGTCTCTCAAATACAGCTCAACAGAAAAACATAGATCTCCTGCCTCAGCCAACAACATACAGTTTTGTCAAATTATTCGAGAAGGCAAAGCTGCAGTTCTGAACTGAGATATTTGCTATTATTTTTCATGAAAGAGCTGTAGAGACTTTGGGATCAAACCCTGCCATTTCTCAACAGCTTACAAGAGGAATTCAGATGTCTGTTCTACATTCCTTTCATTTACAACAAGAAGAAAATCTGCACAACTCCTTCCACAACACACCTTTGATCTTCCTACCTGCAGAACAACAACAGCCCACGTTCCCTTCTCAGCACAGAAACACCTCTCCATATGAAAAGGCTAACCTGTGTTTCTCTGGCAAACAGTGGTTCTTCAACAGAAACGATGGCTTACCTGGACAGGCCAATGGGAAGGGAAGCAGATATGTGCCATTCAGCACCAGATGAAACCAGACCCCTCCTGAGCACTGCAATGCCACCAGTTTTGCTGCTGATGTTACCAAGTGCTTGTGCTGACTGCAGAGACTCAGAGAAATAAAACACCATAGCTCCTGTCATTCTTGCTAATAGCTGGTAAATACAGACTAAAAATCTGTCTGTAAAACAGAAAGATAAGTAGGTAAGAGAATTCACAAATGCATTAATGCTTTCATTATCCTCTTCTTCTAAATAAATGTGACACTTACACATAACATGCACAAAGTCAGCTAATACCCCTAACACTTTAAAGCCTTGCTTAAAAAGGAAAATGCAATTAAAATATACTTTAGGGGATAATTCAAGCGATCAAACCGTCACTGTTTAACAGCCAACAGTACTTTAATGGAAAATACTCAACATCAAAATCTGTCTTTGCTGTAAACAATTTTTGGCACAAAGAAACCTGGCATTTTCTGTCAAGAGGGTTTTTTCAACCCTGTAAATTCCTACTAATTCACTTCTCAATTCACTTTAAATCTACCAGAGAAAATCCACCACAGCTCTTCACCACCTCTGGAGCTGGCACCAACTGCCTGCCCACTGCTGCTGCCTGGGCTCGGGCAAATGGAGCAAGCCCCTCTCCTGCAGACCCATGCGCCCTCCCAAGGCCTGACTGCACCAGGTTATACTTGCTGCTAACAAAGTTTTGAATTTTCATGACTTTAAACAGGTAACAAAACAAGTTTTAGGCAGGTTGGCAAAGCAGAGGGGGAAATCAGGCAAACAACCCAGCAGCCCACAGCATGCACGGAGGCACTCACTCCTCCACCACAGCAGCACGTGAAACTTCCGGAACAAAACCCAGGCCACGTGCAACCTTTGTGTTCAAACCAGCAAGGTCCTGGGGAATGAACCACTGGAGTTACCGCTACAGAAACACACTTCACTTCCACAACACCTCTTCAGGACGAGGAGCTCCACCAAGCAGAGCTGCAGGCAATGGGATGCGCTGGCCCCTTCAGCCCCCAGCGCGTCCAGCAACCACAAGCTTCCACACTACTCCTGCTGCCACCTGCTGTGCACACAGCACCTGAACCATGGCCCCAGAACCCCACAGGACACACTGAGTACCTCCCCAGCAGCAAAGTGCCCGACACACAACCATACTTTTCCAACTGCTCTGATGTATTACCCTGTTTTTAACATGAACTGCGGTGCTCTGACAGGCAGGTGCTGATGTGTTTGTTTTTTTTTTTTTTAATGCCTCTCTGGTTCCTACCTACATTCGTGCCTCCCAGCAGACAAGTCAGCAAAGCAGTATTAACGGAGGTGTTTTTCGGACTTACCCCCAGGAACCCCTGCACAGTCTCTGTGACTAGCTGTGCTGCTGCAGGGAGCTCACAGCACCCACCTCCACACTTCCTATTCCAAAGGCACAGGTGGGAACCATCTCATTATTTTGCAAAACCTTCTAATGGCAAAGCCTTTTCTTTCTTCCTTTGAAGTGTCATGTATTGAGCATTTTTCATTTTGTTCCAGACTGCAACTGCCCCAGAGAGCAAGGACTGTCTCTGTCTGACAACAGATCCCAGCTTTGGATGAAAGGCACTGCTGAGGAAATAACTAAAACCTTGCAGAAGCATTTACAGTGTTTTTAGTGTGTCAGACAACAGGGAATTTGTAAGAAGACTAACAACAGGAGCAAGACATTGTCTTAAGTAAATGCTAATCAACCTTTTTAAGCTGACAAGGTTCACATGAAATGCTGCATGACAGCTCCTCCCAGCAGCAAATCCCATGTCCAACTCAGCCTCACCTGCACAGCCATTAACCCAGCTCCAGAATACAAACTTCAGCAGCCAACTGCTCCTTTTGGGTGGCTGATTTTCTTCCATATCTTTTCACAATTCTGTAGCTGTCATCTTAGGAATCTACCAGAAAAGGTCTCAAAGCCTAACTCTGATTCTGACATACAGCTCTAGCTTGTAAAACAAGTTTGAATTTCCTGCTTCAAACATCGAGTTTCCTAAAGATTTGTATATTCCATACTAACAGAAAATTATTAAAGAATAAATATGTTCTCCAATCCTGTCCTGGGGGAACAATTCTGACATCCAGGCTCACCTCTGCACTGTAACACTGGAGCAGATGTCTTCCTCAGTCATAACACAGAAAGCATTGCTCTATGAAAGCTATGGACAGCAAAGGTTTTTCTATGTACAACTGCTTCAGACAAAAATCTATCTGAACAGTAGTCATAAAGTACACTGACAGAAAATCCAAAGACACCAACTATTAAAAAAAATAACAATTATATCTCTAGATATTAGAATTGCTATAACAAGTAAGTATATCACGCACAAAAGAAAAAAATCTGAATGCAAATTCAAAGAAATGCAGAGTCAAAATAAATCTAGAATTCAGAAAAAAAGAGACTGCTTCCAATAAAACTATCACCATACTGTAGAAGGTACTTTGATAGTATGACAGAGGAATACAGAGCATAAGCCAGTGACAGAAAATAAAAAAATTAGTTCTGCAGAGCTTCCATTAGTCATCACAAACTGTCCTGCAGTGGCCAAGGCTGCCTGTGGGAGAGCTGGCACCAGCTGACGCCAGCAGCCCCTCCTGACAGCTCTCCTGTCCTGCTCTCACCTCTCTTGAAAGAAGCTCGAACAGAAACAACCCACTGCAGGATCCAGCATCTGTCCTGATGGCTCTTGAGATGGCAATTCAAGGTGTTCACGCTCCGTATAAAAGTGTGCATGTCAGGTGCTCATTCAGCACAAGTTTCGGCAGGCACAAATCAAACTGCCAAATCCCACCCGGTTTGTGTTTCAAACCAATTCAACAGGTAGCAAATTTCCAGTGCTCCATACACAATTAGTTTAGCTGCATGTTTCTGGAGTTGCTCTTTTGTTACAGGTAAAGTAGTACAACAATTAGTAACCCTTTAAATTGATTAATTTTACTTTTACTTAAACAGCATTGTGAGAAATGGAAGCTCTCTTAGGAGTAGGTCTGCCATACGTGGTTAGTTGGAACAGAAAGTGGACACATTCCCAATACCAAGGTTGATATATAAAACAGGATAATACTATAAAAATATGTAGCTTACTTTGTGCCTTTCCACAGAAGTTTATCTGAAAGCCTAAAGCAAAAGAGACAAGTTCTTGTTCATTCACTGCAAGTCAAAGTGCATCACTTAAGAATCACTTTTTATGTTTCAATGTTCATTAACTCTAAAATCATACATTAAACAAGTTTATTAGATCAAAATTTAGAATGTGTTGCTTCAAATGTAGAGCAATCCCATTCAATTCAGGATTCATCATTTTATAAACAAACCAGTCTTGAGTGGCAGCAGTGTTCAACAAACCAGCAAGGGCACCAGCCCTTCTGCACAGCAGGCACAGAGGATATCAGTTCACTTCAAGGAGCTTTACTTTCTTTGAGGTGCTAATAAAACTCAAACAGCAACAGCTCTAAAGCTGACAGATTAAGGACAGGAATCCAAGCTTTGCTCAAGGGGGATTTGGACACTGCAGCATTGATGGTATTGTAGGGCTCCATATAACAAGGCGCTGAGACCCGGACAGAGTCTGCAGAAACTTCCTGCAGTTGGGGACACGGCTGCCCAAGGATGGGCACCGCACACCCGGCCCTCTCCAGCACTGCTGACCTAGCACGTGAAGATGGATGCTTCTCTGGGATGTTTGTAACATCCTTATCAGTCCCATCACGACAGAGCATTTTATGGCCATGAGCCACAGTATGTCTGCACAATACATTACAGCCATACAGGACAGTAGCTGCACTTCCTATCACAGCCAGCACCACCGTACTACTGCTCAGGGAGGGAGGACCTCACTGAGGCTTGCCTTCTTCCTGAGAGCTGCTCAGCCATGCACAGCCAGATCTCCAGGAGCGTCTGGCTCACTGAAGGTGAGCACACTAATAAGCACAGTACATGTACACATGCACAGGCACACGGCTGAGAGGGAGCCTTAGCACATCACCTCACACTGGCCACCAGAACCAGAAACATCCTCCACCCCACAGGAAGGTCCTGGTGCCCACTGAGCAGGCTGGAGACTCGAGCCAGGACACCATTGCAGCTCTCAGAAAACTACTGCATGTGCTGCAAGCTCATTTCAATTTATGCTGCAGCAAATGTATCCTTGGATACAAAAAGTACGGGAAGCTTTTGACTCAGTTTGAGTAATAAGAGAAAAGCACGTGAACTGTATAACCCAACACTGCGGTGACCAAAAAAAAAAAAAAAAAAAGACAAAAAAGAGAAAGTGTCGTTCACGGGCACACTGTTGCCAACTCTGGGCTTCACCGTGAGCCTTACAAAACCTGGTGTCCCCTTCCCACCAGAAGTTCCAGCTTAAACCATCTGCTGAATAAGAATTTTTTTAACTGGTTTTGTCTCCACAATAGCATGCAAAAACAGAAAAATAACCCCAAAGCCACCAAAGCAGGCTGGTAGTATGTTCAGAGAAGAAGGAGCAAATAAGAATGGTAATTAAAGTTACCCACATTAGTCTAATAACGTTAACAGTAATTTTATTAACAATAATATAAATTGATCAGTGAAAATTAAAAAATGCATTACCCAACCATTTTACTGGCAGGACAGCATAAAAATATAAAGAAAAAAAATAAAAACAACAACAATTTCATTCCACGAGGGAAGTACCTTTTTCCCCCTACAAAAGCAACTTAACTTTCTAACTAGCTTGCAAGTTCACTGTTGTGCCTTAAAATTTCTTCCCATTCCTATGGCTCAGCCCTGCATCTGTTACTGCTGCTTTACCCAGGAAATGTTCCCTTCTCGGCTCCTGGTTATGGGAACATGCTACCAAGCTGTTCAGTTGCACCATGGTTCTTAAAGTTTTTGAAGTCCAAACAGATACTCCGAATAGATTTTCATTTTCAGAAATGATTAATGCCATTTTTATCTACTGCTAGTTTTCTTTCTGATCATGCCTTTGCTCTTCTTTTCAGTCATATTATTATAAGTTCCTATGCCAGACATTATTCTTTTGGTGGTTATGCAAGTTTTTTCATTCTTTCAAAATCCCACAAGTAGGGGCAGACGCAAAGTTTGCCTGCTAAAGAAATAAACCCCATAACATTTCAACAAAAATTCCTCCAGTCCATTGGCTTTTAAAAGTCCTTGGGAAAGAGTTCTATCCCTCTGCAGAGGACAGGCAGGTCTTCAGTACAGAAGGAGCCGGGGAGTCTGCCCAGCTAATCCCCACAGTCTCACGCTGGGTAACAGAAGACTGTTGCAAAAATACCAGCCAGTAGCCCCAGCCCAGATCCAGCTATCTTCTTCCCTTGTTCTCATGCCCATTAACTCCTTCTAACTCAGAGCTCCTTAAAAAAGGAAATCAGGCATCAGTTCTGCATAAAAAAACTTGAGTGTGCCATACAGTAACACAGGATCCCCCTTCCCATTAAAGCTCTTGCAAGGTGTCAGAGCACCACAAATAAAACAATCTTCAACATTCATAACCGTCTGTGTGCAGCCGACAGACAGAGCCAATGCTGCTTATCACCTGTATCACATCTCCACCCAGAGAAAACTGACTTTGGTTTACGACGGAAATCTCTCAACTAGAGCAGACTCCTGCCTGATCTTTTGCCAAGAGGCTGTTTAATACTATCCCAGAATCAGTGGTGCTATGCTCATGTCTGTTCGTGGCTGATCCCAACCCTGTGCCTGCTACAACAGCTTTGGTCTGCTTCTGCTGCTGAGGCTGCTGCTGCTCCCCTGGGAGGCGGCAGGGGAAAGGGAGCAGCTGAAGGCATCATCACTCATGATGCTCCCACCCTCTGCATTCAGCCTGGTTCTGCTGCCCATGTTTTCTGCCACATGCAAAACTGCAGGCAAACTCGAGATGAAGTGTATTCCAAAGTCACTGCAAGTAACTTCCTGTCAATGGCAACAGAGCATCTATTTCCTGGAAAGGATGGCAGTGGTTAGTGCTTTCAACCTAGCCAAAGGCATATGGCAGGACAGGAATACTGTAATGTAAATCTGTGAAACACATCTAAATAGGCATTAAGGAAGGAGTAGCAGCATGTATGTCGAAGACCAAGGGTGACAGAAGATCAACAGTGACAAAATTGTCATTGAACATTTCCAGCTACTGACTGAAATCCTGAAGATGTCTTCTGGAAGCCAAAGCAGAGCAGGGCATCTAAATTGTTTTCAAGAGAAGCTTGATGCACTTTAAAAAGGAGCCTGTGGTAGACAGGGGTCATTATTGGAGACAAAATATTAAACTCTCAACATGAGAAAAATACTGAACTCCTAACACAAACACGAGCATGTCAAATTCATAGATGGTTAAAATAACTGCTGCACTCAGGACTGGGGAACATTTCTTCTAGAGTAGTTTGGTTTATTTATGCCGCTAAAGCACTGGACAAAATTACTTTATAAGATCACTTGCAAGACTTTTTCGTAACTCCCATTCCTGCAAGACTGAGTACTGGGAACAGACTCAATTCTCCAGCACATCACAGTTGCAGCTTTTGGATTTTAACAACAGGTTCAAATTTAGCAGACAGCATTGCTGTGAGACTGCTGTGGATGCAATGAATGCTGTATCCCATGGTGAACACAGTCACTCTGCTCAGTTCACCTGTGGAACTCTCTGGATGAAATCCTGACCACGAAGTTGCGTGTCCTTGTGAACAGGAGGTAATGTTGCTACCAAGCAGGAAGCAGCAACTACTCCTGGTAGATTGGAAGTAGACAACCCAACCCTCACCTCACGTGGCTGAGCTGCCACAGAGCAACCAGCTTTGGCTGTAAAACCCAAATCTTTTGAATACGGTGCCCTAATGGACAGCAAGATTTTGATGCCAGTGTTAATACATCTACAACTTCGTGCATTGCTCTGCAGCATGGACAACCAAATAGCTGAAGAACGTTGCCAAGCTGTGTTCATTTTGTTTGTTTTGGGTCTCAAACACTTAGGACATGCCAGCACAGGCTTTCATGGAGAATATGAGTGCTGGGTGGCTAAAGCTTCATTGCCAAAGAAGTATTAATCAGATTTTACATGGATACCCAATGCAAACCTTTCCAGAAAGCTTCTATTTACTACACAGAAATAGAACCATGGACAAGCAGCTCCTGGAGCCCATCCCACAGTGCCCTGGAATGACGCAGGGATCAGCTCAGACCTTTGGCAACTCAGTGATGAAGCAGGTTCCCTGCTGCCAGTTCTGTTTTGGGCTCATGTTCAAGTCAGTTGTGACTAAGACCTGTCTATATTAAAGCAAATGACCAGCCCCATTAACATTTCATACCCTAGCTGAAATACAGCCTGCAATCACACTTTCTTTACTTACAATGTATTTTCGTAGGGCAGGAAAAAAAAGCACTCATAGCCACAAACCAGACTTGAAATTTCCAATTCAAAGCCCAAGATTTTCCAAATTGTGTACCTTTACAGTGAAATCAGCCACACCATCTAACACAAGGATATGGACAGACATACGTGAGCTGTAGACACCACCTCCCACCATCTCAACCTTCACCGCTTCCATGCTTGTTCCTTCTGCTACTCACAGAGAGCAGCAGGAACAAGGCCACGTGAGCAGGTCAGACAGCAAAGTCTTGTTTTCAACCCAATGTTATCTAGCACTGAGGTACAGCAGCAATGCTTATGCTTTAGAAAGCTTATTTGGCCACAACTCTGCTATGTGCAGATAAAGAGCTCCAGGACCTTATTCCAACTCCTCTCAGAAAGAAATAAACAAATTAGAAACATATTTTAAAATAGAATTTGTATTACCAGGAGAACACCAGCAAGCTTGTTCAACATGTGTGTCCCTGTGCAGCAAGAACTCAACTGCTGAGCTACTGCCCATAGCAGCAGGTCTCTGCCTTCAGATTCCTCTTCTTCCAACAGATGTCAGAGTTCACTCATAACTAACTCCTTTGTATGAACTTGCAGACACGGTCCTGATACCATACAGTCACACTTTATAGTTTTAACAGTTGGGCTACATCAAAACAGTAGTTCTTAAGAGAGAGCTAACCTCTACTCAGTCCCCAGATCAGCAAGGAAACTAATCTTACATCAGACATCCAAATGCCTTAGTTTCCACATCCTGACTGCT